AATTTACAACTAGCTAATGCATTTCCATTTCAAATATGATTAAGTCACTTAAAATACCCAAATTAATCTAGATTTTTTAGAGCATCTACTCTACTCATATGAACATGGACCCTTGGTGGTAACAACTTACACTATGTGCACAGGAGTGCACACTATGTGTGCACAGGAGAAAGTGTTTTCCAATTTCCCATGCATTTTGTTGGGTCAAACCAGTAGCTTATAGTAGTTGTCATGGTACATGTTAGTAATGTTAAAGAAGCAAAATCACATGGTGATATATTTTTGACAGAAAATATTACTGAAAAATATACATGATTAATTTTATATTGATGTTGGGACACATACCTCTTCTAGTAATGGGGCCATGAATTTTGTTTAAATAGATATTTGAAGTTTTATTTATTTATTTAAATCTAGCAGAATCACTGTACTTGTCCAGAAAGCTCCAGAAGTTACTTTCTTTGTAGTTTTACTATGCTACCTAGAAAGTCAAAACAACAACAAAAAACAGTCTTTATTTAATTTGTGGTCTATGTTGTTTACACTTTAAAGGTTCTTTATAGAATCTGTCTGTAAATCAAATATTGAAGAAATGTGAGTTTTGTGAGACTCATGGACCTAGATAGGCTCTGTGACCAAGAAGTCAAGGGTGCTTCAGTATTATGTCTGTTCTGGTCACATATGCAAAAGGACATGCTTTGTGGTAACCTGCACAAAAATTCTTGCTGACTGCTTCCCTCCTTTGATGAAAGCTAATATGCATTACAACTGAAAACCTCTCTTAGTGAAATCTCACTGCAAATGCAAGTCATCTTTGTGTACAATATCACCATAATTTGTGGCTATTAAAATTAATAATTTTCTTTTACTTTTCCTCTAGATATATAGGATATAAAAGTATCAAAAAAACCCCCAACTGTTTGTGATAATTTGTTTGGGGTTCTGCCATTGAAGCACCTTTTTTATTTTTTCCTCATGAAATATTTGCTGCTTTCAATCACCTGGGGAACACTACCTTGATGAAGCCACTGAAATATGCTCCATCAGTCTCAAAGGGTTTTCCTAGCCTACTTTTCACCCTCTCCTTGCCAATTAAGCTGCCACATTATGTATGATAGTGAGGGTCACTTGTTTTTTCCAAGTGTTATTCTGAATTGGTGAAGATGACAGAAGCATACTGGTCTAGTGAATAATTAGAGTGTCTTAAACTCCCAAGTCTCCACCTTGCACTGCCACATACCATTTTTAACCTCAGCTCCTGTCTTCTAGCAGGTTACATGCATTTTTGCCAGGAAAACCTAATGTGGTATTCTGTGCTGCATGCCTATATTTTATACTAAAGATCTACCAGACAAAACTAGAGATGATGTTGAAAAATAGAAAACATTTGAAGTAAATAAATATGCAACACAGAGCTTACCTCCACAGGGCAAAACACAACATTGCTCTAGGACCTCATAGCATTATTTATACTATATCTGTCAAATATCTATAGGCAATCCTTCAGGTTTTGAATTTGCATACACCAGCTTAAATATGGTAAAAAAACAATTCTTCTCAATGCTTTAAAACCATGAAGTGCTATTCTAATAATGCTAAAGCAGTAGTCTCCACTGCACTCAATCAGAGTTTCATACCCAATGGCAATTATTTATTATTTTTTAAAATAACCAGCCCAAAATTTCTGCACAGCGGTTTTGCCACTGCGCAAGCTCAGAACAAACTGGAAGCACAGAACAGGATTTAGTATGCTTCCTGAAATGAAAGAACTTTATGAGCCTAAACCAGCCTTTCCAAAATGGAGACAAGTATCTTAAATATTCAGGCTTAATCCACTGCCCAAGACATTTAACAAAAAGGCTTAAGGGGAGAATTACTACACTGGGTGAAGTTTTTAGTGAAGGAGCAGAGAAGTTTCCCTCACATAGCTATTAACAAATTTTACTGCAGGAGTGATCACCAAAAACAAAGAAGAGAAAGGTGCAGTAACAAAGGGCTGAGTAGTGACCTTTCTGCCTCTTTCCCCTCATTTTTCAAGTTGGGGCAATGATGTCCCAACTCCTTAATTGAGCTCTAATTTTGTACAGAGTGTGAGAACTAGATTTGCAACACATATCAAACATTTAAAACAAAAATTAGTAAGATTAGCCACCAGGAAGTACTCAAGTGGCTTTTAGTCATCTTTTTCTTTTAAAATGTAGCCACACAAGTATAACTTCCTCAAACCTCACCCTCTTCTTTGTTACATTCTCCTCCTGAACCTCAACTCAAGGTAAGTTGTTCTGGAATTGTTAATTATTCTTGGTTTACCTAGCTCTGGCATAAAAGGATGTCTTATACTGAGGGGGTCCCTGGACTCTTATCTCAAATACAAGTAAATTTCCATAATTTAATGGAGTTGTTCCTCTGAAGTGCATGCAGTCTGTGATTTGTTAACCAAGAGGCAGGCACCTCATGCTAAGGCAGAGGACTACAGGTTCCACTTGTCTTATACCTTGGGTCACCTTGATCTTTCAGCTACAAGAAAACACCTTCTTCTTAACTCTATTGGAAACAGGGCTATTTGTTACTTGCAAAAGTGGCTGGAAAGTGGAAAACAAAGGGCCCAGTTTACAAACTGAGAGATTCTGGGTAGCTGACAGCAGAATTACATCTCAGACCATGGTCTATGCCTCTTTCTAGCTATTGAGGGCTCCACTAAGTCATCCAGCCCAAATATGTAGGTGAAAAGATCCTCTCAGCTTTTAGGGTATAGCATACCTTATATTTTAATGAGTCTACCCTTTCCCCTAGTACATGAAATTATTTTCAACTCAGCATCCTTCCAACAAGGAGATTTCAGTACTGGTTTCTATGTGTGAGTTTACCTTCTCCAGCTAGGATTTCAGCTGGCAGTTCTGGTTTTATTTGTTTCTCTCCCTCTTGCTTAAAACAATTTGAAAATATACATGTGGCAACAATACTAAAACAGAGTACAGGCAAAAAAACTCCCTATTCAACAAATCCACATCAATGTTCATATTCTGATTCTTTAAGATATTCTGAAACAGCATAGTAAGGGCAGTAGCAAGCAGGTAACTTGGATATAATGTTTATTTTAGAGTTAGTGATAAATCACTGTGAGATAATAATGGAAGCATATGTCTCCAACAGCTTTTCAGAAAAGGTGTTTTATTCTAAATGTAAACTAGTGGACCAAAGAGATAGTGAAGATTTATTTCCTTTTTCTTGGCAGAAATAGATTTCATTCCTTAGTATATTAATGATGATACATTAAAAATGTTTACAAAATACCATCACTTGAAATTATGAAATGAATGTAATTAAATTGCCTACAAGCCCTTAGGGCTGTGAACACCAGCTTAAGCATTAGTGAGACAGATTGCAAGCCAGGATTCTAGTTGTTTCTCTCATGCTGAGGAGAAATGGAAATAGTATTGCAACTGAGAGCTGCACCACTGCATGAAGTGTAACTCTGGAATATGGCAGTGAGGAAAATGCCCAGCAAAAGCTAGCACCAACCTGAAAACCTACCCAAATGAATAGCACCAGCAACTTATATCCCTGATCAAGGTTATCTAGGAGAACTGGAATTCACTATCATCTATCTGCTAAACACCTCAATTTGGACTTCCTATGGTTAGACTGAAAATGGCTTTATTTGGGGGAAAAAAATAAAATAGGATGCAGACCTAAAAATAAGTCTGAAAAATAAGTTTTCCCAATGAATGTCATCATCCTCTGGCATGAGGACAGAGCCAAGCTCTTCCAGCAAGAAGACCATGTGACTAGACTAAGAAGTATCTGCTTTTACAGGTTCTGAAGTCACCACTCTCTTGTGGCTCCTCTGGGTGCTTATTGTCACCAGTGTCTGACTCACCTTCTCTGTGGGCTGGTATTTTTTTGGGTGAATGGTTCCTTCAAAGTGACTTTTCTGTGGACTAGAACATAAGGTGGGAGATCCTCTATCCACTGCTTGTCAGACATGATTGCTTATTAGCTTTGGCTATAAATAATGGAAACAGCAAAGTGTTCCAGTCACCAAAGAATAGAAGGTGAAAAGGAAGTCAGGAGATGAGATGGGAATGGGGATGAATGTTTTCAAAACAGGATTTAACTATTAAGACCTTATTAATAAGTCAACTCCATCACTTACAAAACAATATTCTTCCGCTTCCTTAATTCTACAGCTTTGATAAAGAATATGATCATCCATTTAAAAGCTCCTGGTGAGAGAGAGGGCACAGACCTCCAGTGGCCCCCTTGGTTTTAGGTTTCCAGTATTTCCAGACCTGCTTGGACCCAGGCAGCATAAGCCCCCTGTGTCTGTAGATGATGTTGAGTGGGAAGGGAAGAGAATCCTTCCTACTTCATGACAGCTTGGCACTCTGGACTTTTAACTGTTGCAGTCCCCCTCTCTAGATGTCTGACTGAGACCACATGCCTCCAGTGTGAGTGTTAGGCAGTTGTAGGCTTAAAAGCTAAAACTCCGTGGAAATCAGGAAACAGAAGCTGTTTGCACATGATGTACCTAATTCTGTATACATTAGAGTCTCACTGAATGCACCAAATTTTTCTTTTAAATCTTACAATATTTGGTGTTTAAATCAAAGAAACATCTAGCAGAAACAGTCCCTATACTGCTTAATTTGTTGAATAGGATTACTTCTGTCCTTATTTCTGTTCTCACTTGAGCATTTATTATTGGTCCATCAGAAACAAGTCATTTCTTTGACAGTTCTGTACTTTTATTTTCCTCCAGCTTTCACCCAGAATGTTTTAGAGAATATCATGGTGGAGAAAAGCTAAACATTGTTTGGGTTTATCTTAATATGAAGCAAAGAATTTTAAACTGGTACTTATGTATGTATTTGTACTCTAAGACATCTCTGCAGAACTGCACGGTAGAAAATATTCAGAGGATCTCTCATTCACTGCAAAGTCTGAATACAATTTTCTAAAGATATTTTGGGGAGAATGGTCTCACAGTTAAGACTTACCTATTCCATCTCAATTTGATGGTTGTCTCAGCAACAGCACAAGTGTTGAGCAATTCATTGACGAAAAGAATTTTCACAAGAAAGCACAAATTGCCGATCATAATTTCTCTTTTGTTTTTTGTCCCCCCGTTTGGCAAGCATGCGTATTTCAAATGTGTTAGACATACACACAGTTGGAGTCAAAAGATCTGTAAAAAAAAGGGTAGGATGGGTCAAGAGCTGGAAGCCCCAAGTTTAAAATTGAGCTTTTTCTTTTTGCTATGCACTCCTCTCACTAAGTCTTTTTTTTCTTTGTATTCTTTATATATAAATTGATGAAAATAAAGCTTATAAACCTGTGCTTCAGAGTTATCTTGCAGTTTAAAAAAGTGATGCTCAAGTAGTTCTTAACTGCCTCCCAAGCATGGTCTGGTGGTGTCTTCACCTGATGCCTCTTTGCATGGACTAAACTCTAGAAATAAATGGAGAAGAGCAGTCAAAGGAAAGGTGTGCATGTGACAAATCAACAGACCTCTCCTCCTCCTGATGTAAGGGAGGGCCTATTCTAATTGAACACCTAAAATCCCACCTTCTCAACTCAGAGTCTTCTACCTCAGTAACTAAAAGAAGTTTTAACAAGTTTGTGACAACTGCTGAGATACAGAAGACACATGACAGGTTCTACATCCACCAGGTGAGCATAGATCTCATCTGAAATTGTATTCATTACTGCAAAGCCAAGCATCCAAACAGAAGGACTGAACTTCATGTGAACAGCTGCACACTAAGTCAGTACTATAGTTTCTGTATTAGATGTCCTACTATGGACAGCCCAAAGACAAAAGCTGAATCTCTCACCATACTGAGTTCACAGACAAATCAGTGGATCTGAAATGCTCTCCCAGAACCTGCGTCACCAGCGTCTTATCTTATGTTGCTCCTCTTGGATGCACAAGAAGTACTTTCAGCACATATCAGAGGGTTCATCTAGCTCAGCAGCAAAGTCCAGAATGGAGTTTCCTTGGACTTTCCTTGCCACCTTCCTGAAACATTTTTACACTTAGTTAAAGCCTGCCTCAAAACCTAGAGCTCTCCATACTGAGAGAGACAATGGTACTGAGAGCAAGTCCCAAAAGGATTCTTTTCAATTAGCATGGATAGCTGCCACAGCACTCCAAAGGAGATGGCTTTTTCTTAAGAATGAATGCATCAGCCCACAGTTAGTGAAAACAGAGCTAGATTAACAGTAGTATTTAAAGGACTTCCCATGTAAACAACAAAATACAGGGTGAGGGAGTCACTTCACTGTTAATCCATCTTACTTTCTTGTACCTTTGTGGGTTGCAGGAGCACTACATACATTAACAATGGCACTACATTTATATTCTGTGTTACAGCAACAGTACCTCATCCTCTGATATTCTTGTAAAAGATACATTAGGGTGACTAAATTTCTGTTATCTATATAGCTAATCTCAGTGTGGCTATAGAAAACCAAAATGAACAGAAAAAAAGTATCAGATTACTAGCAGAAGTTAAAAACAAAAAAAAAACCCCACCACCTTATCAGTTTTAGTCCTTTGTAATTAATGCATTCTCAGACTCTATCAAATCTGTTAGAAAAACTTAAAAGTATTTCCCAGATACCTGAGAACTGCAAATTGTCTCTTCTGCAAACTCAGCACTGCAGAAATGGAGCAGGAAAAGCTCCATATGACACTTCCAAAATCACTATTGTCTTACTTTAATACAAGGAACAGTTACCCCACTAACTTCTCTAACATGAGCTTCTTGAGCTACTATTACCTATTTGGTTTTGTTTTGAGGACTAAATTCAAGGTGTTGGGTCTAATTTCAGATGTCAGTGCTTAACCTGTAATTAAGAAGGTTTCTCCCAAGACCAGGTTTTACCTTCACCTCCATGGAACTGGTACAAAACTTCAGTGCATCATGTTTCAGAGAACAATCTCAAATACCCAAGGTTTTCACCTGTACAAAGACATGTGACAAACTTAGTACAGATCCTGACTCCTAATAACACTAAAACGAGAGATTGATGAGCAAGTCCCAGTTTTCCTTCTCTGATCCAAAAGTTTATCTAGTTGACTAGGCCAGGAGAAAGCCATAGATTTATGGCCCTTGAGACTGAGCTGTAGAAACACTTCGTATCAAGAAAACCCTGGGAAAATATATTCATTTAGCTGCTCCAAAAGGGAAAGAGATCCTCTTGCAACAATACAAATTTAGCTAGTTTCAGATCAAACAATTCTTTATTTTTGTGTGAGGTTCTTTTGAGGGAAGTCAGGACACCCACTCAGAGCACCAGCACCTGACTCTGTGCTTCCCTCAGGTGATTGTTTCCTGCAATTTATGTTTTCCTGGCCATAGGGATTCAGCTTCGGCAGCTGTAGAGTTTCAGGGCTCAACTTTAAAACTATATGAAATATCTAGGGTAGCTTAGTCCAACATGTGCTGCCTCCTGTTGGAAGTTCCTCACTTTCCATCTTCATACATCAGGATGCGTTTGGCCATCCCTTGTACCCTCCAAGGAAGGCAAGTGGGCTGGGCTGGTCCAGGGCTCCCGGCAGCTCAGCTGCTCTGAGTCTCCTCTGTTCTCTTTGGAAAGTCATGTCTCTTTGTGCCTTGCAGTACCACAGGTTAGACTATCAAGTGAGATGTGGAACCACTAGACAATAGTTATCTCCTGATGAATATGGAAATACATGATTTGGAGTAGAACCACAGCAGTAGAAAATACTGACAGCAGCTCATCTTAGAATAACCTTATTGTTGTGGTTTCCAGGGAAATATTTAGTTCCTGCATTCTAACAAGGCAACCTAACTTAGTCTCCAGCGAGAACTTTATATCTCCTGGTTTATAGGATTAACAAAAAAAGAGAGCTCCTCCTCCATTTTATGAGGTTAAAATGAAAAACATGGCCAGTCAGAAGTATCAGAGTACTTAAAAGCACTCAAAGTGTTTCAGTTCACCTGGAAAAGCTATTTTAGGATATAAAATAATTTACAAGAGAATAAAAGTACTCTATCCTGAGGGAGTGACATGAATTACAGTTACGGCATATCTATATCAAACTCTGAAGAATCCATACAGAGGGTCTCTGTAAGCAGATGTGTATATTTTGTGAGCCTTTGGACATAGATTTTTGATCAGAGTTATACTTTTTTTCATTTTGTGTTCCAACACTCCTCTGAGGCTACTCATGTACCATACTGGCTTGAAGTGGTACATCTGTTCCTTCATTATGCTCTGCTCAGGTCTTTAAATACCTGGAGCAAACCCCAGACTCCAGATTTACCTGCTATTTTAATATAGCTGAACTATCTTTTCTCTACTTGGCAGTCACTGTTATTGCACAGGCTATATAGTTGAAGATCATAAATTTTTCTTTGTGCCCAATAAATGTGTTCTTTCAGTAGGCTAATGTTTGTATTCTGCAATTATTCCAAACAGGTGGGCACTCTGACACTTGCCATTAGCCAGTCCGCAACACACAAATATATTGATCAGGGCAAAAATGCACTTCTAACTTGTGCTAATCAATGTATCAGTTCTCAAAGGGTTTTTACAGTGTAATGAGCAGGAAATATATATACCACTGCTAAGTTTCTCTCTCTTCAGGGAGTCACTGAGTGCACTTATAGAAGAGCTGAGGTACTGATATGCAGTAAAGTGAAACGACATCTCCAAATAAAATTTTAATCTTAAGTATGTATGTAAAGTTTTGAGGAAGACTGATGGGCAAACTTGCAAAGTTTGCAGAATTATAGGACTTAATATACAGCTGTGCAATTGTACCTTTTATTGTGAGCTTTCCAAAGTTAGCTAGAGTTCAACCTGCTTTTAGACACCCCCAAGGAAGACAAATGATGACACAGGAAGTGGGTTTTTTATGAGGAATTAGTAGTTTCTGTTCACACCAAGTTGGATGTTCCCACACATTCTTCAGTGTGTTCTTCAGCTTTTAGCTTTTGGAGGTGATATTCTCAAACCCTGTATCAGTGGCTGATCTTTAATTTACCACGTTTCACCTTCAGTTTTGGCATTGTGTCTGTGTGCTAACAGTGTCAAGCGACAGCTGCACATTTTCTGTTTATTTGAACAATTTACTGAAATGAACAAATCGGTTCTCTGTACACAGCCATGAGATCCACACTTGCTCAAGACTGGCACTGTAATTCAAATTTACACCTAAGATTGAAGACCTCTTTTTCACATGAGATTTGATAAGTTACTCTTCACTGGCTCTTTCATTCAATGTTCAGAGAATAAAACAACTTATCTCCAGTTAGTGGTGTGATCTGCCACCTCCAGTAAAGTTTGATGTGCTGTCTCTGATAAAGCTGCAGACAAAGGGTCAGATAAGCTGCAGTCAGGATTCTGAGTCAGTGTAAACCAGTGCTGACCCTGAGTGAGGTCATGAAGAGTATCTGAGGTTAACTAAGGTTTAAGTAGCACAGCAAAAAGTGATATAGAGGGGGGAAAAAATCCTCTAAGAACTTTTGTGTACAGTGAACCAGTTTACCTGAAATAGATGACAAAAAGTATACCGTAAGCAATCCTTGCAGTTTTTACTTTAGTCTCATATTCTGCTCATAATGACAGGATTGGAATTCAATAAGTGTTTTTGCCTGGATCTTAAAGTCCATACACCAAATATGCATGTTTGGCTCTTAAGTATCTCTGAACCAATGTTTTTATAAAGTCTTTTGATCCTGAACTTATACCAGCTTTATGTAAAAATACAATGGAACACTGTTACCAGCTGACCCATTTCTCAGAGGGACTTCTGAGAGGCACAAAAGGAACCTAGGAATTCTTAATCTCAAAATTCAATGTGTAATCCACCAGCACAGCATGAGTCACATATTTTAATGGCCAGTGTACACAGACATAAGTGTACAACTGCAAGCAGCTAATGGGTTTACTCTTTTAATGGAGGAAGTCGGCAGCTAATCTGAAGGCCTGGGGTTCAAACCCTACCGATGACCCAACTTAAATTATTGTTTTATTAAGCAAAGACTTAAATATGATTGATACAGTTTAAGCT